CTCACGCGCTAGACTTCAAAATTGTTTGCAACTAAAACTTTGAACAAAATAGAAGTCCAGAAGAGCTTCGCCCAGAATCAACTACAAGAAAGGCTTGTTGTGCAGTCCAGAAACTCTTTGGTGTCAAAGGCAGTGACCACGATAACTGAGTAGGGTTGTTGTCGCTAATGATTGGTGGAAGGGTTGAGTGGGGTGTGGCCAATCGCACTCGCGCAGCGCTTCCACCAATGACGCTGGCAACAACCGCCCGCCCCCAGAACCGTGCCCACTGCCTTCAATTGATGATCTGTACTTTTTATCAAGCTTTCACACTCCATACTTAGTTTCATTTATCGTATCGTTTTGCAACATCGGAAAATTTCAACAAACTGAAAGCTCTCAACAGCTTCTACTTACTAGGCATCCTACAGAGTAAGATGTAAGACAGCACTTACCTTCACCGACTTGCTCAGCAACTCATTCACGTACGAAATCGCCTCCTCGTTATCGAACGACTTCCATAAACCGTCACACGCCAGTATCAGGAATCTAAATGAATCCATGTCACTGTCGATCAAAATCAAGCACACATTCTTCATAACTGCCTACTCTATCTGTTGGCATTTCACGTGCCTCAATGTCGAAGCAATAATAAAAACATTTGATCATCAATAGATGCGCAAGAAGCATTATTAAAACCTGTTATACTCCACTGATCGGCAGGAAGCAATGATACTACGGTTTTTTCTACGAAGAAAAACCGTTCAAGCGAGCCCGAGAGCATGTACATTTTCTTTCCAGCACACTAAGGGTCTGCAGGGACCAAAGCAAAGTATAACTCGAACCCGCTATCGCTTAACTACTTTACTGAGCCAGGGTTGCGGTGATTTGTATCGTAACCTTTTGGTAGGCGTCATTCACTCCAACACCCAAGCCAAATTCTGCACGAAATCTCTTTGAACTGATATGCAAACGTTTAGAGATAGAGCACAACGAAATGATCCCCCCTCTATAAACTCAAGTAGCATGCGGACCTTAAACGCCCTCTGCCCTACGCTCATGCAAGATGGATGTGGACGCGTGGTCGACAGTGCAAAGGAGTGAGTCATTAAGTTTGTCCAACCACCATATTGCTTCTGATGTTTTAAGGGGCACAACTATTGTAAGTTT